ATTTACTCGATGAAGAAAAGACAAAGCTAAAATGATCTCAGCAGGTTGCAGTATTCAGTCAACAAACAATGTTTTATAACCAATACATTTTTTTATGATTAGACTGATAGATTTCACACAGATCCTATAATACTAGAGACCCTTTACAATTAAATTGTTTTTACACAATGCAATATAATGCATATATAGACATGCAACTGAAAGTAACTGTTTGCAGCATTGTTCCATCTTCACTTTATACTGTCTCTATAGGATCTAAAAAGCACAGAAATGAGATACCATTATTTTACAACTTTCAATTTCTTTCAAATTTATTAATTTTAATTTGCTTCTTTGGAATAAAACACCATTGAGGTCTTCTCAGAAGAGTGATAATTAATCATGACTATGACTTTAATTAAGGAACATATTACACAAGCAGGGATGGGATGGTATATATTCTCACAAGGCATTGCGTTTAAGCACCCACCATTAACATAAATAAGATCACTACAACGCACCTGCTATTCTTTCTACCATCCTGAATCATTTGTTCCTTTAACAAATCCCACAAGCGACATAATTTGTTTGCGTTGATTAGGTCGATAGAAACAAATATGAGGTGATATGAGTATATTATGATCCTGTCCATATAAAATTCACCATTTCTAAAACAATAAAGTTCATGACCAATTTCTCATGTGTTAACTTATGGTATAATTCACCGATCTCTATCAGAAATTCCCATTTGAAAGGTGTTGTCACGACTGTATTCATGATTCATCTCTGTCAGTCGCACTCAGAAACGTCGTCAAAAATATAGACACGTTTCTTTACGATTGAGTTCATTTGAATGTAAAAGAGCTCCCCAACATTCTTGAACATGCGCTTTTGGTTAAAATACCATATTTGACTTGATTTGTTCCTCTATTGCGAGATAACAGAACAAAACAGTTGAAAATACCGTATTAATCACAATAGCTCACTCCTCAAGGTGGTCACAGTAAGATGGCGGCCGCGCGCGACTTCCGGCTTCAATTTCTGTATCTATAGTTGCGCTCTCCATATATTTATAGCTCAGTGGGGAAAACTCGTTAAAAATAAGCGAAAGGTTGAGGCTGGTAGATTGGGAGGAAAAGCCACCCAGGAAAAAATCACACAGACCGAAGAGGAATTGAAGAAAAGAGAATTTCGGGTTTGCGATCAGGAAAAGGAAATTATCGAACTTAAGGAAAAGGTATTGCATCTGTTGACTGAAATAGAAGTACTCGAAGAAGATAACGAAAAACTCACGGAAGAATTGGGGAAGGCGAAACACGAACTGGATGAAATAGAAAAGTTGTGTCAAGAAGAATAAAAAAAATTTTATTTCTTTCCGTAGAAATAAAATACAATGTCTGATACAACGAAAAAAGAAGTCGTCAACGACCTTTACGACGCCGCCTTACTCACTGCCGGTGTCGTCGGCATCTCGTACGCTGCGAAAACCATAATGGGAAAAAGTTTGGGAGCACCGATGACGTTCGAAGGTGCGATGAAACTAAGTCTCGCCGTCGCGGGAAGTTCATTTGCCGTCGCGTATCTGAAAGATAAAGGATACGTTCCAAAAGTTATAAATAAATAAAATGACATCTAATTTAATCGTCGGCGGATTATTTAATGCCGTTGCCTTTGCGGGGGCAGGATTCTTATTTTCCCATTTGAATCAGAACGGGTACAAGGAAGAAGTCAAAAGACATAATCATGCGTTGGAAGAATTAGCCGAGGCCAAGGAGAAATTTTACGAATCCGAAGTCAAAAGACGCAATCAAGAATTACGTCGACGTCAGGAAATTTTAGACGCGAATCACGATATCGAAGAGACGGAACAGAGCGTTGGACGAATTAAAAAATTATACGCGAAAAATGGATTTATCGGCATGGCTAGAAATATACGACAACATGGCCGACACGCATGCTTAGCTTCTTTGTAATGTAAATATTAAGTGAATAAGTTTAATAACCAGAAAAGCATTACGTTAACTTGCCTTTTCGGCTTTTGTTGGTCCTACAAACCAAATATGACGATTCCATAAATCGATTTTGAATGATAATCGTCGTAGCTACGTACTTGTTCACGTTTCAGTTCAAAAATCGATGCAGGCTTTGTTCCCGAAGCAAAAGAATTTTGCAGTAATTTGCACATATAATCACGCGCACTTTACTAGTAATCCAGGTTATTTTCACGACGAAACCCCATAATCGCTTCAGTTTTCAAGCTGATCGTACATCAACATTGGATTTCCATAAATCGTAATCGATACACTTTGTTCTCCCCATGAATTTTATCACAATATTATCTAAGGATATTATATCAATATTGTTCCCAAGTAGAGGAAAGAATGGTATATTTTGCCTCTATTTTCCATTTTAAATTTGCCTTGTTACATCGCTAAAACGCGATGCAAGCGCATCGTAATTTTGCTTTTTTCATATTCTTGTTCGTGATTCATATTCTATAAAGGTAAGATAATATCAGCTAGTGACATAAAATATTAAATGTTGGACATAATTATGTCACTGACATGATTTATATATAATTACTTATCATTTAGCTATTGTCCATTGTCCAACAGTTTTAAAAAGTCATTTAAAGTCATTTGTCTAGTAAAACAACCGTTCTTTTTCTTTTCCGACAACTAATCAGTCGCTCCACAGAATAATATAAAGGAGTTTGAAGTGTTTGCCGACGAGAAGGAAGCATGTTTTTATTGGGCATATACATTTAATTAATTAAAGAGCGTTTCTTTGCGTACTTTCCGGCTTTTCAATATGTTCATTAACATGACGTCCTGACGGTGCGTGCGCCTGCATTACAAACCGCTGGCTGTCGCAAATTTCTAGCCATGTGGATCGTAAACCGAAATTAAGTGATTATTATCGACCGTCGGACGACATGCAAAAATATATGTATGTCACCGTAAGTGTCGTCGGTTTCGGTAGCGGATACGTGTTGACGCGAATACTGTGAATTTTTTAAGTGGAACTTAAAAAATTACGTGACGAGAAAACATTTGAGAACCGTTGATTTTTTTCGAACGGATGAATTTCCTGCCGTATCGATATTTCTAAATTTTAATCCGAAGATGGTAATTTTTTTAGTGGACATGTAAAAGAATGTGAACGTCGTACGAACGATACCGCCCGTTTGTGTTTCGGTAAACATGACGACATTTCCCGTACTTCCGCCGTAAAATCCGTACGTGGGAGATTGCGTTTCCTGATTGATACCGACACCGCTTACTTTAAAAATAATGAATTTTGCATTTTTCTGATCGGTTGCCGAGACGGTGGTGGTTTCGAGAAATCCCGGTGGATATCCGTAAAGTTGTGTGAGATCGTATTGAAGGGGCGTATTTCTTCCAATGTCGTTCAGGTCGATCAGTTCGGTTTTATTTTTCTGAATTTCGGCCGTATTTCCCTGTTGTATTTTTTCCATGTCCGCGACCTTCTTTTCGAGGTCGTTGTTTTCAAAATAATCATATCCCATGAGTATACTCATATTTTATTATCTGAATAAAAAATAAGCAACACCTGCCGAAAGGACGGTGATAATTCCTAAGGTTTGTGAATTCTCTAACAACCCCCGTTGATTTGACGGGGGTACATCTTTTGTAGGATTTGGAAAGGGTCGCGTTTCACGACCCTTTTGATTCGTCGTAGAAGACTCCCTTACAGGACTTGTTGGTTTTACAGGACTTATTGGTTTTACCACAGGTTCCTCCGTAAAATTCACCTTTTCATTCTTTCCAAAACTCATACCGTTCTTAGCGATCGTTAAAATATTATTGTATCCCGCCAATGGTTTTTGTAAAATTTTCATATCGGACGGTATTAAAATTAATCCGGGCATGATGGCGAAGTTGAGGACGCCGTGTGTATCGGCGATCGCCGTTCGCATGTTTCGAATGATTACGGTCACGTCACTTTGTACGATACTGTCTCCCAAAACTTTCCGAAAAGCATCTTGCGTCTGTAAACTTTTAGCGCCTTGTCCCACAATACTCCATCGGGTTTTCGCCTGCGCTCCGAGAACGGAGTACACGTAAACTTCGAGAGATTGTTGAAAAAGGCGTTGTCCTAATTTCGTCAATCCGCTCGATGTTTTCGGAATGAAAATTTTATGATCTTCCATAACATTTTTTGGGAACCTTCCCGTTAAATATTCGTACTCGATGTACATTCCGCCGTATCGGGTTCGTACGTAATGTTGACTACGAATTTTACGGCGAGTATCCGCCGGTAATCCGTAATACCACGTTCCGACATTCGCATGCGAGGATACGGTTCGTCTTTCCCATGTTTCGTGAACGGGCATGTATTTTCGGATGGTAACAATATCATCTTCGGTCAGTAATTTTGAATTTTTCATGAATTTTTCCATCTGATAATGAACGTGGAATTTTACGGTCGATGTGACTAAATGCGAATGGCAAATGGAATTATTCAAGTGATCTTCGGAAATGCCAGATTTAAAGGTAGCGACGTAACATGCTGCCAGCAAACAAAAGTAGGAATTTTTGTGGTAATCAAACGGAATTAAATCCATAAATTTTTCCATCTCCGTATATTGCGGTGTCGTGCATTCGAGATGAACGGGAAAATATTCTGTTTCCGATACGTAAATTTTAAATGCGTGTAAATCCATCGAAAATTCTTGGTTGGGTCGGAATATCATATCCGACGCGACGTTACGCCATCCGTTCATCCAGTATAAATATTTCGTCCAATCCGGATTCGTGCGAAATGTATTGGACGTAATATCGTAACTTGTAAGTTCGTCCACCTTGTACAAAATTTCGCTAGAATCCAACGTTCCATCTTTCGCGAAGGCAACTTCGAAATTAAATTTACTTAATGTTGCGTTGGGATATTTTCCTAAAAAATTAGTTTTTAGTTTTTGGACTTCCAGGGGATAGGCTCTTTCAACCTTTTCGTAATTTTTTCCGTAATATTGACGGAATAATTGATCGTCCATTTTATTATACGATGTATAATTCCATTAAAACATTTCCCGGTACAATACCGTGAACGTTAGATTTCACGTCGAAATGAAGTTCGTTGTAAATTCCCGCATCCACACCGACTTCGCGTTCGATGTCGTTGTATTTGGTCGTCGTTCCAAACAGAGGTTTCGTTCCGTCGATGGGAAGCGACGTGATGACATTACTGAAAAATCCCATCGGATCTATATTTTGGGATCGGTTCGCTAAATTACATCCGACCGTCACGTAACGTAATCCTTCGTGAATATCCACGGGACGATCACTTTGATGCGTCGTGGAAAAAGTGGTGGTATATCCTAACAAGTCACTTAATTTCCATAAATTTAAAGATTTTATACCTTTCGTGAATCCGATCTTGATGCGACCGTCGGGAAATTCTTCGACGGATAATCCGTGACTTTCCAACTCTTTCCGTAAATTTTTAAACGTCCAGTATCCTTCGTCCAACACAACTTTTTTCCCGTCGATGGAAAAATAGTCGTTGTAACCTTTCCGAATATTTTTATAATTCCAGAACACGGCGGCTGTTTTCACGTAAAGTTTGGACGCGTGCGTTAAAACTAACGGATTCTGTAATTTCATCGTGGTTTCTCCATACTCGACGTATACTGTTATTTTCTTCATCCTTTTATATTTTCCATGAAAATATAAATGGGATTACCTTTGGACTTAGCCTTACGCGAACTTTACTTTAACGTCAACGGCGGATACATATCGATGGAAAAATTATATCGGGATGCGATTGAAGAAGGCGTCGAAGGCGTGACGCGAAAAAATGTAAAAGAATGGTTACAGACCCAACAGACCTACATCGTCCATAAACCGATCCGAAAACATTTTAAAACTCAACGGACGGACGTCGACGGACTTGCCCAACAGATTCAAATGGATTTAGTGGACATGCAGGCTTATAGTCATGCAAATAAGGGAAACAAATGGATTTTAACCGTGATCGAAATTTTAAGTCGATATGCGTTTGCCGTACCCGCCTATCGAAAAGGTGCAAAAGATATGGTACCGGCCGTCAAACAAGTTTTAAAACAATTTCACGAAAGATTCGGACGATAACCAAAAGTAGCACAGTTTGATAACGGGAAAGAATTTTATAATAACGGTGTCAAGGCGGTATTGGACGACCACAACATCCATCACTTTTCGACAAGACTTACCGGTAAAAAAGCGGCGATCGTCGAAAGATTTAACAGAACGTTAAAAACAAGAATGTGGAAATATTTTACGGAACGTGGATTTACAGAGAAAAAGAAGAAATGGATAGACGTCTTACCGGACTTTGTGAATTCCTACAATCATTCCAAACATCGTACGATCGGTATGAAACCTGCCGACGTCAACGAACACAATAAAGATGAAGTCTGGACAAAAATTTACGGCTATCCGCTAAGTCATTTTCCCAAACCTAAATTTAAAGTGGGAGATAAAGTCCATGCGATCCCTAAACAAGGAACGTTCGATAAAGGATACACCCAGAATTTCAAAGACGAAGTTTACGAAGTGACGGAAGTGTTTCGCGGCGATCCAAACATGTACAAACTTATAAATCCCGACGACGACGACGATAAAGATGCTTTAGGAAGATATTACGAACACGAATTATCGCTGGACCTTTCGTAGAATTTAAGTACTAAATAAAAAAGTATGGAAGACATTAAACTGAATGACTTTGGTCAGGATTACGACTGGGATACCTGGGACGATGGTTACGAGGAAACAAATCTCGACAACGACGACTTGTACGAAACAGGATTGGAAGATCTGGATAGACAAGACGATGAATTATGGATGGCGAATTTTAAGAGGGACAATGAGGGTGATACATCTACAAAAAGAAAAAGAGAAACTAATTTTTTGTATACGACCGGATCGTCTGTCAACCTGAAAGCAGAATATATGAAAAAACCTTTCGCGGAAGATTATAGATTAGATCCGAACGACGGACCGAATTCAAAAGATATATTTTTCCGACTGGATGTTGTCGATAAATACTGGCTGACGTTCGACCATGTCAAAGTTGCATTTATCGATAGAAATGGATTTTTTTTATTATCGAAAAATACATCGAACGTACAGAGTCAACTGAATTTTAGGACCGCGTTCGAAAAGGCAACGGAAGAACATAAAGGAACATTAAATAGTATCGTGGAAGAAGTTCCGGATGGTGATGGAAATATCATCGATGCTATTTCCGACGATGTTCGCGACGAAATACATCGCGAAAATATCGACGACGACATTGATCCGCCAAAATGGCGGACAGTTCTAATTTTGTGAGCTCTACAAAATTCCATCAAAATATCCCGAAAATATGGAACGCTAAAGAAATTTGTAATCATATAGCTTCTTCCAACTTAAGTTATGATAGTAAACGAATTAAATGGATCGGAACTTTTGATATATTGCAGAAATTTGTCGAATGCGATCTTAAATTGGATGGCAAATGGTCTTCGCCAGGCGGTTGTTCGAAAAAGTTTACGTGCTATAATCTAGATATATCAATAACTTGGTACCCCAAGAAACTAAATACACTCGTATTTCACGGTGAGGAAAGCTCGGGTTTGGTTGACGCGTTAATAAATGTGTGTGCGGAGGCAATCTCTGAAGACGACGGTTTATCAAACAATGTATGTATGTCGGCCAAACATGGTTCGATTGCAACTATAAACTCAGCTGTTGACGAACCTGAACAGATGTCTAATCACTGTATTAAGGACTTTGAACGAACTGATAATCATCAAAAGGTCAGTATAGAGCATGATTTCAAACTTGGCTGTCAGTGTAGAATTTTAGCTGCTGATTTGGAGGGAGTTAAGCTCGATATAGCAATCATGTGCAGGGACATAGAAACTAAGTTTCTTGCAGCTTACAATTCACAGGATAGTGATAGTGAACAAATAAGTGAACTTAAACACGAGCTTCTTAAGGAAAAGGAAAAATGTAGTCAGTTGGAGGCTGATATATCTATTTTGGTTCGAGGAAGGAATAGGGAGATAAACGAATTAAAAAATACCATTACCTGTCTCGAAAACAAACTTAAATCAAGCGATGCGATAAATGAATCCCTAAGACAATCGCTAATGCAAATTAATTCAGAAAAATTCAATGGTGTATTGAATGCCGAACATAGCCTGTCAAACCAACCTGAACAAATTAATACTTATAACTGCATCATAGACACAGGTGAACCTTTTATTCCCGAAACAGTCAGCTTTGAAAGCTCCCTTGATAATTCATGTTTAATTGTCCAACCAGCAAGTTGTAATAGAACCAACAGTAAACTCGACAACAAATGTGAAATTGACAAGGTGAAGTTAACGGAGCATAATATGAATAACGACAAAATCAGTAAAGCTAAGGTCTCGCGAAGTTACTCTCGACGAATCATAATTCTCACCCTTATTGTGAGCCATTGTCGCTGAAGTCGCTTGGAAACTTGCCTCTTATCGAAATATCCAAGCCATTTATAACTCAGAAGAAGGAAACCTTTTTAGAAAACCCATCAAATATATTGAATGATAATACAACGAGCGCTGAGACAGTTACTCAGCATGTGTGCATTGGCCAAATACCAGCTGATATCTCTGAATTTATTGTCTTAGACGGTGACGAATGCGTGTCTGAGTGTGACAATGCTAATAACTGTCCTTTTCGGCTGAGCTTTTTGGAGCGTCCCCCACCCTTGCCTCATGTTCGAGGGGCGGAATGGTTGGCGCATTTAGATCTTGTTCGCCGGCTGACGACAAAGTAAATTCTAAAGAGGGTGGGAGAGAATCACATGAATCCTCACTGCCTACCCCCCGTTGTTTTAACACATCCAACCCCCTTACCCATTTTCAACCTATACCCGTTAGGATTACCTCTAGAAAAGGACTAAAACTAAATTATTTTGAGAGATCGATCAGGAACAATTTAATACGTATCCCTCTAGTGGATTCACAAGATATACCAAATTCTAACAATGAACGAAGGTTACCGAACGTTTTGATCCTAAATACAAGGTCTCTAACTAGTAAAACGGACGAGCTTGCAAACTTAGTGGAACTATATAAATCCAACCTGGTGTTTGTCACCGAAACATGGCTGTGTGATAAAATCCCGGACGAGGCTATTCAACTGCCGGGTATGACATCTATAAGGAAAGATAGAATCGGTCGCAGAGGTGGCGGTGTAGTCCTTTATATTTCCAATAGCATCCCCACCAAAACACGACACGATTTTTCTCAAATCACCTTTCGAATGCCTCTGGGCTATCCTTCGACCAACTTGGCTACCTAGATGTATTTCTCGAATAGCAGTAGCTGTGGTTTATTTGCCACCATCAACGATATCTGAAGACGTAGAACGCTTTTATGACTATTTTTGCAGCTGTTATGACATATTGATCTCGGAAAGTCCTAGCACATCCTTTATTATAGCAGGAGATTTTAACCCTACCAGCAACGGAGTTCGTCCCGCCAAATTCGTCAGGTATAGCAAATTGAACTGACAAATTATTAAGAATCCTACAAGAGGATCAAACACTCTCGACCTATTATTTACAGATACATCTACATTTTTCGAGACCCCAAAAATTCTTGCCCCAATTGCAACGTCAGATCATGCAACTATCCTATTAGATGCCAAAGTTCATGTAACTCGAAAAAACGCCATAAGAAAAGTCAAGGTTAGACCATTAAAACAATCGTCTCTACAAGGCTTCGAAGAATACCTAAAACACTATGACTGGTTGCCAGTTTTTCTGAAAATAACGTAGATAACAAGGTCGATAGTTTTTTGCAAATAACCCATAACATTATTGACTTTTATTTTCCGACAAAGATAATTAAAGCACATGATGAAGACAAACCCTTCATAACTGGAAAAATTAAAAGTTTGATTAGTAAGCGAAACAAAGCCTACATGAGCGGTAAATACATTCTCTTCAAGACTATTCGAAACCAAATTGTATCGGAGATTCGCGTGAGCAAAAGAAAATTTTATGAAGAAAAAATCCTCCCAACTTATCGACAAAATCCTAAAATATGGTGGAATAACATAAACAATATCGTTGGAAAGAAGAGAAATACCTCACCAACGCTTTTTGACCCCATCTCCGAACTACCAATGAATAATAAGCAAACGGCTGATCACATAAATTCATTCTTCTCAACTCTTACAAACGACTTCTCGGAAGTACGGGGAGATTGGCTATCACGGGGTGAACTAGACCCTCTCCCAACAATTACTGATGAAAATGTTGCAAAAAGACTGAGTGATCTTACCGTCGGGAAGGCAGCCGGTCCATACGACCCATACATGAAATTGATCAAGATGTTCGCGAAATATTTTGCTATCCCTTTGGCCGATATATACAACGAATCATTCATGTCAAGAATATTTCCCCAAATTTGGAAATTTTACACAGTCTGCGCGATTCCGAAGATTACGCCTTGTTCGAATGTTGAAGACCTGCGTCCAATCTCTCTCACTAGTGTCCTATCCAAGGTTCAAGAGTCGTATGTGGTTGAGTGGGTACGTGAAGATATAAAAGGAAAAGTGAGCGAAGCTCAATTTGGAGAACTGCCAGGTTTTTCGGCAGTCTTAGCACTTGTCTGTCTTGCACACAACTGGTATTCGGCTATGGAGAACCATGGGAATGTGGTGAGAATAATTTTCCTGGATTTTCGAAAAGCGTTCGACCTAATTGACCACAATAAGTTACTCCAGAACTTCGAGAAAATAGGTGTTAGACCAGCATTGCTAGCTTGGCTCGGGTCATACCTCCAAGGCAGATCGCAAGTTACAAAAGTCGGAAACACTTTCTCCGACCCTGCATATATTAAAGGTGGGGTGCCACAAGGTAGTAAAATCGGTCCCTTAGCCTTCATAGTTCATATAAACGATCTCCCATCAGTGGTTCAGTCATCTGATGATAACAGTGATACTGTTTCAATGTTTATGGATGACACTACCATGTCTGAAGTTCTTAAACGTTTCCGATCATATCTCTGGAGAATCGATCGGCAACTCCCAACGTAATTTGGAGAGAGTATTACAATTTACGAACGACGAAAATATGCAACTGAATTTTAAAAAATGCAAAGAAATGCACATCGACTTTCGTAAGAATAAAACGGTTATACCCCCAACTACATTAGGGGAGCAGTCTCTCACTAAAGTAAGATCGTACAAGCTACTGGGTATCTGGTTCGACGATGACCTTAAATGGAAAACGAACACTGAGTACATCACAAAAAAGGCAGCTAAGAGACTATACTTTATGAAGATTCTAAAGAGTTATAATGCGCCAAAAGAAGCTCTGAAGACTTTCTACGTAGAAGTAGTGAGATCAGTTTTGGAATATGGCGCCCAAGTTTGGAACGGCGGGTTGACAATGGAGCAAAGCGAAGATATCGAGCGAATCCAGAAAAGAGCGTTAAGGATAATTTATCCGGAACTAAAATACCATGAAGCACTAATGGAATCGAACCTCAAAACGCTAACCGACCGACGCGATGACATGTGTGTCCAACTTATTAAGGATATGTCAAACCCGAATCATAAACTTAACCACCTCTTACCAAAGAAAACTTCCCAAATAAAGCAACGAGAAACGAGAATGAATGAGTATGAGAATGAATATAACTTTGCATGTAAAACAGAACGTTTTAAACATAGTCCAATTGTATATGCAATTGGCAAATATAATCTTTATATTGCTAAGTAAGCATGAGGGTTTATATATTTTAGTGAGTAATAACTAACATAATATAATTCTATCTGTAAATATGACAATAGTTTTAAGACTTTATACATTGAACTAGCTTTAGTAAAGTAGAGACCATAGTATTAATACTTTTTACATTACATTTTATCATTGTAAAAGTTCTATCACTGTAAACATCACTGTATTTTAGCTCATCAAGCTATTTAGTGAATGTAATAAACCATTATTAATTATTATTATTAAATATCACCGGTGTGACATCACATCGCATAATGACATTTTGAAAACGCAATATTTTACCTTGACAAAATATTTTTAAAAACAAATACAGAGGGTTAATTACCAGTTATGAAATAAATACATGTACAAGGGCAATTTTTAAGTTTCTAAGATACGTATTCGTCAAGAAAACTATACTTTTCAGAAAACTCATTATGCGATGTGATGTCACACCGGTGATATTTGCATACGAAACAAAGTTGAATATCTTGAAAAGGAAGCAAGTTACGAAAATTCTATAAAATAAATTATTAAGTCATTTTAAGTGATCTTTACGATGCAACCATAAACATTTGGGGTGAAATTTCATGTCATAGGCACTTTAAACCTACGTTGGAATTAGACAGTGAACAGTACGTTGAGTATTTTGTAAGAAGTACAACTATCCTTCACTGTCGAATGGCTTTGCGAAGACGTTTATGAATATATAGCAACTCTCAATTTGGTAGTTACTGCAGTCGGAGAAGAGCAATCTCAAATTAAGAGAATCAATGGTGGAATTACGCAAGGAAGTGCATTGGGTTCACTTATCGTTTGTGATCAAGATAAATCAGCTACCACAAGCTACTTTGGGCGACGTGATGAACGATACGACCCTATCTCGGAAGTTACAGAAATAGTTCATGATGAAGACGGTTGGTTGATAACGTTGATTGACAACACTCGACATAATATTGATAGTATATTGGCATTTACAGAAGAGGAAATATTGCAAATGAATGGAAAAAATGTAAGGAAATGCTCAGTGATAGACTTTAGGAAAAAGAAGACTACAATAATTCCTTCCACAACCATTGGCAACTGTCCCATCTCAGGAGTGGGTCACAGAAGCTCTTAGGAATTTGGCTTCGAATAATGCAATCTTGGGATTCAGTGATTCAACTCTTAGCATTCAATTATTCAATGTTAGGATTCAATGATTCAGCAATCTTAGAATCAGTCTATGACTCAATATTAGGATTTAATGATTCAATCTTAGGATTCAATGATTCGACAATGTTGGGATTCAGTGATTCAATCATACACAGATATACCAGATGTGTAACTTCATAGGACTTAATTCGTGTCAACAAATTTCGCTAAGCTCTACCTAATAATGGTCATTAAGATGTCTTTTAGAACATGAAAGCAATATCATGTACACAACATCGACGCAATATTAAACTATTAAACTATTAAACAGTCTAATACTATTGCAAATTTGTGCTCATATAGCCTTAATCTTTTAGTGACCCTTAATGATTTTAAAGTTTGTTTTTTTTGTACGTGAGAACGCGCAACATAATTCTCAGAAGCGTCTTGTTAGCCCTGTTTTAAAAACAATTTCGGAATCAACACACATACAGTATTTTAAGTCGGGAAAATGCATTTATTTATTAATCGATTAATACATATATATAATGCTCAAGTTTTCCAACTTAATATCTGTTTTACAAACCTCAAAACTATCCTATTATAATACGCTTCATGGCCATTTCCATTTATCAGCAAGGATTCTTAGAAAATAAAAATACGTTTCAGTAATGAACAGAATCACAGAGCCTTTGTCTTATCCACCAATCTCAAAAGATGAGAGTGCTGTAGCACCCACAGTCACACTCCCCTGCTCACATTATACGAAGGCAATAATCTTTCGGCATTTGTGTTTGTAATTGACTGCATGAGGGGCAACTACCACTGTACCAGTAATATGACTAATATGTAATAATATTTTCCCGAAGTAGATAATAAAAGAGTCCAGAGCAGATGTCAGAATTCATTTTTGTTGCAACCTGTGACATGCTAGAATCTGTACGGGGCTCAGTTCGGGGAATTTGGGAGGCCTTCGAAATGGCAGAGTCTAAGAGAGGTGGGATAGCCGAGTTGGACAAAAAGGTGTCTCATTTTGAGAGAAGGGAGTGATTGGGTCATTGGGAAGAGGAAAATAGCTGTGGGTGTCAGTGGGCTTGTCAGAACACATGCAGAAGTAACTAGTTTATTTACTTAAACACTTTGACTCCAATAATAATTTGAAAATAGTTTATATAGGTGGGTATACCCGGACATTTTGCCGAAAGACACTTTGCCGAAAGACACTTTGCCGACGAACATTTCGTCGAACACTAGACATTTTGCCGAACGGACATTTCGTCGAACGGACATTTTGACGAATGGACTTTTCACCGAAGACATTTTGCCAAACGGACAATTTGCCGAAAATATAGAGATCATGAATTTTCTGTGTTGGTGTTATGTACTCAGGTGAATATATGATGCGGTTTGTGATGTTACTCTGAGTGTATATCCACACCGGGCAAGCTTGCCCTGTGTGGATATACACTCAGAGTAACGTCACAAACATCAAATATAGAGATGTTATTTCGTCAAAATATTAAACACCCACGTTCGCCCACATTGTTTATCAAATTATTTGGGACGGTGACTCAATTGTCATGTGAGTCATTAGCATTGCATAACCATATCGATAGTTTGTTTGTGCAGCGGATGACTCATCTTTTAGGAATGTGTTGTGACGTCAGGTCGTAAACAAACAAGCGTATAAAAAGGCAGCGGCGTAAACAAATTTAATTTCGAGAATGATGGAACACATTTACAGTTCTCGGGGAAATCGCAAATTGCAGAATGCTCTGGCGGACTCTCAACTCTAGTGGAAACCTTATGGCAGCAACCATCAGAGCATTCGCGTCCACTGAGCTGATCCATGCATGCATATATCTCGCGTGGCTGCCCAAAGAGCAGTGTCAGTATTGCAACATCGTGCCGGTTATAAGCATGCTTTTTACAAAATATGTACAATAATATATATGCTTTTTATGAAATATATACATAATAAACTTAAAACATTTACCTTATAACATTCATGAATCATGTTATTCTCAGCTGTAAAGTAAACATAAAACGAAACATGTTCACTATCAAAGTTTCTGTCATCAATGGACAATGACAATGTCAGCAATGACTTTTATCAAAGTCAACAAGACTTTAATCACGGAAACTTTGATAGCGTAAGCGAGCCTGTAAAGTTCAGAAAATATCATACGTCTATTTTCAGCAAATTGTCCGTTCGGCAAAATGTCTTTTCGGCGAAAAGTCCGTTCGGCAAAATGTCTTTCGGCAAAATGTCCGTTCGGCAAAATGTCCGGCCACCTTTAGGTGCACGGTTGATACAGAACATTGAATTACTGTTCGATTTTTAAAGTACAAAATTAATACAACTGTCCCAGCCTAGCCTCTCGCGCGCTTGCTATGCTTGGTTCATAGGGGTACGAAGGGGTTTTATCTTTTATCAGTTCGTTTTTCGTTGCCCCTGCAGAACGGCCAGGGACTAGGCTGCAACTGTCAAGAGTACCTACTGCGACTCTGCTACAGCTCGTTCACGTGCTGTAATTTCGTGGCGGGAAAATACTGCCACAAGTAATTACTGAAGGTGAAACATTCAACAGAACATCCAGTTATTCAATCTTATAGGATTCAAAATTCAGTATTAGGATGCAATGATTCAATCAAGTGCTGTTCCTCCCATGACAATAATCATATCCTGAACAACTGCAGATCATGCCCTTCTCTGCTCATTCATTGGTGGTAGGATATGCCATTTCTCTATCTTGACATTGTAGATAACAACAGTATAGCATTACACACGTTTGCCGTACTGGTCAGTACCTCCAATGAGGATCACATTGTCACCCTCACATTGTTGCCATTTCATTCACATGGTAAGGTATGGATACTAACTGTTCAAAATAATCACTTTCAAAATCAAATTAAAAGCCGCTATCTAGACAATCCGTCGCTGTGTTCAGCAGAGCTTCGCCCTCAAAAAATGAAAACCTTGTTGTCAAATACTTTCGCACTGCTGTCACAGATTTTTACACTGCGGTTTGAGATTAACTGCACTGACTGAAATCAACCAATTAATCACGTTTAAGATTTACTGCACTGAAATAATTAATCAGGAACATTTTTACGTATATTACTATGAATTTAACAAACTAGTAGAGTTGGGCAATTCCTTCCCAAGAGTTGGGCAATTTTGTTGGGAGGTCCATCCGCTCAGTTTGCAAATGTGTAATATGACGGTTGGAATGCACAAACGAATACTTTGTAACACAGGCATATAGAATATCACTATACTTTTCACATTGTAGTAACAAAAGATTAGAAAAACTGCGAGAAAATTTTTTAAATCAGTTAGTTGATTTTAATTGCAAATTTAGCTCGTTGGGTACAAATAATTTATTTTTATACTGTGTGTCAATGAATGACAAAAATATTATTAATTCTACGGCCAAGTACATATATGAAATAATGAATACTTTTGGGGATCTTTCCTGCATCTAGCTCTTCCTTGACTTGTCCTTGTTTAAATTTTGTTATTGTTGTAATATTATTATTACTCTGTTCTATTATGTTATTTTTATATAGCTTATAATAGACATTTGCTGTATTCCATATATACCAGTATTGGTATTTTTGTTTGAATAAAGTTATTATTATTATTATTATAGATTGTGGTGTGCTAGCTAATATCTGAATTATTCAGTTAAGTCGGTCAACTGCCGTCTTCATCGTCATCCAGCATGTATCCGCCTATGAACAAATATTATACTGGAATTACATGCAGAAGTTTTACGTGAATCTTTCACAAAAAAGGTTCATATAGCATTTATAGTTATTTTAGGCGCGGTCACCAATTCAACTATCAGAAACGTCCACAACTGAACATAGCTTAAGCTTGCCAAATTCGAATAACAAATTAAAAATGGGGAAGACTGCTTAAATCATGGTGTCATTTGTCTGGTGTCATAATGCATATGGGGAAGACTGCTTAAATCATGGTGTCTGCAGGGAACTGGATTTCAACTCTATACTAAGTTCAGTTTCCCCCGTGTATCTCTTTGGTTGTCCTCCGGATCACTCGCCACTCAGCAACACTGTTGGAGAGTTTGTGGGTGACTGCATGGGTGACTGCATGATGTCTTCCCGATCACAGTCACCTCTCACATTTTCACTCTCAACATCTTATTGTAGATATAGGGGTGCACAGATAGGACATTGGATAGATGATATAACAAAGAAATTTCAGCAGGCGATGCATGGTCCAAAATGTTTGACGTGTTTACCACTTCCTTTACTGCCAGCTAAGTGATTTTGTTTTCGGTTGATCTAATGGCAAAGCAATCTGATAGGAAATATAGTTTCCAAGCACCATGATCATTTAACAATTATTCGCCGAAGGCGAGGTGATTATCGGGGAATATTCACCGACACGAAGTCGAGGTGAATATTCCCCGATAATTACCGAGCCTCAGGCGAATAATTGTTTCAGAGTATTTTTACACAAGTATTTTGTGTTTTATGGGACTGAATTTATTTTAATTTCGCTAATTTTTTTATCGGAGTCAGTAACTTCCACAAAACGGTTAGGCATCATTTTGCAAATTTCAGTTTTGTTATATTCAAGTGAACAACATCAACTTGTAGGATTTGTTACAATCACTTGTGCAAAAATACTAAACATGTATATTGTATTTAAGGAATGTCAGATTGTCAGGCAGTTTTAATAAAACGTCTCCATGCATGCCAACTTCACCTTAAGCTTTTTTCTTTCATAGCAGCGACTACATCGTACTACTCTTGTCGACCAAAACCTTTCAATACTATAGTTGTGATAATGCAATTATCATGCTGAGCAACGTTTTACGAAAGTCGCCGAACTGTGAAATCGCACCTACATATTCTTGCATGTTTACCGATGCTAATTTTGAACAGCCAATCCGGTTCTTGGTAACAATTACAATTAAACGTCGATTGGCTGTTTAAAATTAGAATTGTAAA